AAAAAGAGGGGGAAACGGTCTAAAAATGCCTTAGGGGACATAACATCAACACTGGGCAGATGTCGATCTAAAACTTAAAACAGGTTAGTTAACCATTGTATAACTATTGTAGTAATTTACCGATGTAATAATTAAATTTACCAAATTTATAGAAATGTAAAAATCCTGAAGAGGGGTGCAAATTAAAGAAAATATTGCACCCGAAATGCATAGAAAATAAAGAATATGAATAAAAGCTTTGTCTCTGATTAAATGCGGTCCAGGCAAAAAAACAGGGATAATTTAGGTACAATTAACCCATAAAGTTTTTTCATCAATTTTGAGGAAATATTTTTGAAAAATTGATTTTTTAAAAGTAATATAAAGTAAACCGCACCATGGATATATACATATCTATTACTTATAGCAGATCTTTAAATTAAGTTGTAACACAGCTCAAGGAGTGAGAAGCAAGTCCGAGCAAAGTCTGAATGTTCTGGTCATCATTTTTCTTTGGTCCTGTGATGACAGCATTATGATCGATGGCCTGGGGTGCATGGCAAGGCTTTCAGCGACATTCTCTGGCAAACAGGTGAACCTGGGGGGAACGGGGCACGGTAGAGGGAGGTTCATTCTAATGATGTCAGGAATTCTTTCATTGTTCTTCCACAGAATCACAAAAGTTCAAGATGGGAGAACTACAAACCAAGAATGTCGCGTCCTTGAATCACACATTTTTATACATTTTACCTCTGATTCTGCTTTTTGATTGTCCTCCCCTCATCACCTGGTGACAATTCGAAACCTTTCGGGGGGGTGCAGGAGAGGTCAGCTTCATGACCAAACTCGATTCCATTCTAATTACATTTCCCTAGACTTTGTCACTCTCCTCATTTCATCTTTTGTTTTATGTTTTATCAAAAGAAACCCTCTTTGTTTATAGCCGTTTTAAGTCTTTCTTCGTTTGTTTCTGAAAAGTGAGAGCTCTGCAAGCTCGCCAGACGGTCGACATTCGGACCTTAAAGTTTGAATTCCATCTGGGCCCTCACATTCCTTTGCTATGAAGATGTAAATAATCACTTACTAATATTATCATTGTATTCACACTAATATTAAAGTTTTCCTTAATTTCAATGCTGTCTCACTGTGCATTAATTTTTGTCAATGAATGCTTTTTGAAAATTTTCAAATTTATTCTTGTTTAAAGTTGTATATTTGCAAATATGAGGGATCTCCATAATTTAAAAATATCTTATAATTTATATTAAAAAGTTAAAGAACAGAATCTGTTCTTCAGAGTTTGTTATTAAGTCATTCTAAATTTATCAACAGTTCTGGCAGAATAAAGGAATTTTACTACAAGTTATTTTAATAAACTAATCATTTCTTTTACATCATCATGTATTTTGTAAAACTTTTTTTTAATAGAGTAGTAATAAAATAAAAGCTACCATTTTAAATCAACAAAATTAGATTAATAGTACTTGTCAATTAAATTATAAATTATTATTGTTTTATTTCAGATTGCAGATTTTGGTTTATCAAATATATTTTCTGAAAACAATTTTCTACATACGTTTTGTGGAAGTCCTCTTTATGCGTCTCCTGAAATTGTCAGAGGGAAACCATACTACGGTCCTGAGGTATTGCATATATTTTATATCTTACACTTGATTATTATATAAATATCTCTTAAATTTTTTACCCATTTTCATTTTTATTTCATATGTGCATTTTCATAATTTTTTAAATGTACAATGTTAAAATTTTTAATTAGAATTTATGCTTGTTCTTCTAAGGTTTGAAACAAACTCTAACATTAGCTAATTAATAATTAAAATTTATATCTAATCTTACAACATTAAGTAAGCTTAAGATATTTTTTATACTTTGTATATGTGGTATTTCATATAATAGTGAGATATTTTTTCATTTATTTTTAAAAAATAAAATGTCAAATAAAAGTTTGGAAGGATTTCATCAATTTGGCATCTATGGGACCAATGTGGTGCCAGACTGCTGGATGTTTTAGTATTTCACAAAAGTTGGTAAGTTATGGGATTTGAATGTTGTAAACATTGCTTCCTGTATAAAGATAACACAATGCAGGACTAAGATTGGTTGAAAAACCTGCAAAAATGTTATTTTGTGCAATGAAATATTCATTTATTTTTCAGATATATATACTATACATATGATTTGCAAAAGCTACATATGCTCCAAACATTGACCTAAAAAAATTTCACATGTTGTTGCATTGGCCTGTGGAAAGAAAGAAGATACAGTACATCAATCATGCATATTATTGAATACTAGCATCCCCCATTGCAGCTTTGCCCGCTCTTACATGCATATAGAACTTTGAAAATTTGAACAAATCGTTCATTAATTATTTGTGGATAATCCACATTGTATGTGAAAACCCGCTGTAATTTTGAAACTCCGAATAAGATTATCATTATCTTGCATGGTTTTCTGCAATCTTTTAATGAGTTCCCTATTCAAAGTTGGGTTTATATTCGATCAGGCTAATATCTGGTCAGATTCAGACATGAAATAGATCTGTAAAAATTTAGAAGTATCTTCTGGATCAGGAAGTAAACTGTCAATCAAATGATAAACTTTACCCTGGATTTTAAATGTAGGCACAAAATTCCTTTTTCTTATTTCTTTCGCTCCAAATGATGTCATTTGAAATAGAGTGCTGTACTATCTAGAATTGTCTAAGAAATGTATAGAAAGAGAATCTGTTGTTAAAATCAAATTTTCAATGAAATCAGGAGGTTCTTCAAGTTGTTCAAGACAATTTTCTCGGCAGCACAGCAAAGTCCAAAAGTTTCATTATTTCAGTTTTTTGGCAAAACAATGATCACATATTTTGATCATTTTACTTCTTTCATATCCAAATAGTCATTTTTAGGATGATAATCAAAAGCTGATTTGGAATCTTAAAAATTCCTCGCTATACGCATTCGATTCTGAGCCGAACGAATTCATTTCTCTTCCAATCTTTGAGACTGCTCTGCTGTAGATTCACGTTATCTATATGAACAATAATAGCTCTAGAACTTTTTTTTTTTGTTCATGCTCTCGTAGCTCTCGGCATTGTTTATCAATCAATCTCAAAAATATTCATTTGAGATAAATCCAATAACTGTTTCGAATATTTTGTACAATTACCTGCAGTAATTAATGCGTAACGATTTGAAAATCTTCCATAAGTGCACATACTGCCATCTAGCATGATGACGTCACTTTTTTAATTTCTTGAAGATTTTGCTAATTATAATTTAATGTCAGTTCTTCAAAAATAATAGTAAACTTCAATAATAGACTTTCCTTATAGACGGAAAGTACTAATTCATGTGTCGCCATCTAGTGAAGAGAGAGAGAAATACACATTTCTCTCTCTCTTCACTAAATCCATTGCAGTTTTATTTAATTAATAAAAAATCTGTAGGTTTGATTAATGGTAAACATTCCAGGGATCATAAAGATGCTACATTTAAAATTTGGTAACAATTGGTTCAGTAGTTTTCATGGTTAGTACAGTAGTCACAAACGAAAACTACGTTCTCTCTTTATATAGTAGTATAGATATAGATAAAACACATATGCTAATTCTAACAAAGCAGTGTTCATTTGACATAATGCAATGTAGACTATGTCTAGTTTACTTAACTACCTGCATAGAATTTTAGGTCTTCCTGTCTGTTTTTGAGATGGCAGTAGGATTGGATATGAATATTTTCTTCTACCCCCATAAGATGGTAGCCTGACAGTTGTTTTTGAATCCTTTCAAACAAGTCTATGACATATAATTGCTTATAGTTCTATGTTTTCTTTGCATAGAAGTTGTTTGGCATGATGTGGAGATCATAATACTGTATGTTTAATCCTAAAGTTGACCGGACATGTAGCATCAACTCAGTTTCCACCTGGGGTCTTTGTTTAGACACATGGTGCACTAAATTCGGATTTACAAAATATTAATATGCTGGAATATCATGAGACAATTCCAGATTATCTATTACTTTTCAGAGGATGCTAGATTAACAAACTTTAACTGTGTTGAAAACATACAGTGTGTTCAATATTAGAAGACACATTAATTTACAACTAATAGCTTCTAAATTTCTATTAAACAAAGAAAATTCAAATATAATTTGACCTAACTTATTTACAGGTTGATTGTTGGAGTCTGGGAGTTCTTTTGTATACATTTATATACGGAGCAATGCCATTCGACGGAAGTAATTTTAGAGGATTAGTTAAGCAAATTTCAGAAGGAGATTATTACGAGCCCAAGAAGAAATCTGGTAAGCTACTTTAATTTTGCTGTAGTTTAATTTATTAATAAACTAATGTCAAATTTACAAATTTTATTTTTCCTACGCGCTTTCAGATGCATCTGGGTTAATACGTGATCTCTTGACAGTTCAGTCAACAAAACGTGCCACTATACTCGACACGTGTAATCATTGGTGGGTTAATTTAGGTTACGAACATTCGTTATTGCAAGTAGCAGAAGACATGGCTAATTTTTCACCGGTAAATATGGATGCTCTTTTAAACGTGCCATATTTAAAAACTTCCGAAGAAAGTAAGTCGGAGACGAGAAAGATACCAAATAATTTAAAACTGTGTTGTTCTAACCAAAATAAAGCTATCGAAGGAGAAAAAGACGGAAAAAATGAAACCCTTCCAAATAAAAATAAGGCAGAAAGATCTGGTAATTTAATAAACAGTAACAGTATATCGTGTTCCGACGATAGTCTAATGCTAAATGATTTAGAATCTCCTAATGTGATCACTCCCGACGAATGCTCCCGTTCATCGGCCGATAAAAGTTTTCTGTTTTCTGGAAGTAACGTGAGGAAGCAGGTTGGAAAAACTACAGAAAATAATTTAACCGTAATTAGAAAATCAAAAGAAACGAGTATTAATTCGGTACAAGATAATTTAACTCAAAATAAACCAATTGTGACAGATACCATTAACAGGAGAAGACGAATAAATGCGGAAAGTTCTCTCAACGAAAATGCAAGCAATAAAAACGATTCGACTAAAGACGACGTCATTTCTTACGAATCAAAAGAAGAAGTAGTTACAACTTTCTGCATTAAACTGAGACCGAGAAAACCAAGTTTGGATTACAAGATCCCCGAAAAGTCAGACGAACAGACGGATGCTAAAAATAAGGAAAATAACAAATTACAAGAATTGCCCACTGCTAATGAGAATAACAAAGAGCAAAGTAGAGATGTAAACGAGTGTGTGACTATATTATTAGATAATAAAAATGCAAAGGACGTAACGAAAGAATGTGATAATTCAAAATGTTTGGAAGTAAAAACAGAATCAACTACCGATAGTAAAAACGAAAGTAATGACGTAAAAAACAAGGAAAAGAATAATTCTTCAGAAAATGAAAGATCTTCAGATAGCATAAAAACTGAAGATAGCGTGGAAAATAATATTTCACAAAAGAAAAATTTCATACAGAATGCCGTCGAAAAAATGGAAGGAGAAATTAGTCAAGATTCAAAAACAAAAGATTCAGAAGATAGTAAAAAGGCACCCGCGAAGAAAGGTCCCGGTAAACTTGTTATTCCAAAATTCTTTGAATCTTCACAGTCGACGAAAGGAGCGGATACAAAGAAAGTAAATATACCAAGTTGGGCCGTATCGGACGTAAAGAAAACTTTCGAAACTAAAACTCAGGAGAAGAAACCGGTGTTTATTCCAACTCGCAGGGTGTCCGACGCCAGAAGTAAGTTCGAGCAGAAAATCGAATCGAATGCGTACACGACCCTGCCGAGAAGAGCATCCAAACAAGGCGCCGGTTTAAGGGAGGAAATAAACGAACAGAGACGAAGAAGCGATACTAACGATTGCATTTCGAAAGAAACCGAAGAAATAAAATCTGACGTTCAAGAAAATTCAGAAAATGGAATAAAAAAAACTTCAAATTCAGAAAATGACGACGATATAAAAACTGAAAGTAATCGTAAGACGTGCATTGAAAATCAGGAGAATTCCACCGTAATTTTGAAAAATGAAAATTTGGAAACTTTAAACTTAAATCCTAATCTGTCTTCGGAAAGTTTAAAAAAAGAAAACCGTTCGAGTAAGTTAACTGCCGAATCTGTTGTTTCAGAAAATTCTTCTGCTACCCAAGATCAAAAATTTGATAATGTATCAAATGAACATGATGATGATAAATTATCGTCTGATGTAAAGAAAACTCCAAACGATCCCGTTCTTCCGATATCTTCTCCCGTTCTCGAAGCACCTTCATCGACATCTGAATTTGATTCCAATATTCCAAACACAAATTCAGAAAAAACTAACACGTCGGACAAAATTCTCGATACAAATTGTAATGGGGATCAAGAAAAACCGCAAGTAAAGAGCACTAAAGAAAATGACGATAAAGTAAAAACCAACAAATTTGTCTCCAACATCAGCTCAGGAAATAATTGTAACGACAAGGAAAAGACAAAAATTGACGTGGGATTAAAATCGATGGCTGGAAAAACTGAAAAAGTGTCGGTTGAAGAAAATAAACGTGAAAAATCGTTAGAATTAACGTCTCTTGCACAGAAACAGCTTGCCAGTAAAGAATCGCATCAGGTGGAAAGTAAAATAGAAACTTGCGCGCCGAAAGAAAGTAAAAGCGCATCGCATTCAAAAAGAAGAAATTCAGATTTCTCGTCGTTATCTCATTCTTCCGAAAAATACAATACGCTCGGATTACGAGACATCCACGATCTTCCGGAAAGCTGCTATAACGACATGCTTCAGTTTCTTCATTCCAGAAGTCCCAGTCGTAACAGATACGCCACGTCTTTCATTTCTAGACAAAAGCAAACTAAACACTCGCTAAATACGGATCATCAAAATAGAATTCGTAATTGGCTTAAATCCGAACAAGTAAACGGACATTCGACCGATAAGGATTCTTCCGATAACGACGAAGATTTTGATATTCATTTCGATTATAATTATCCTTCGTCCACCAATTCTAACGTGTCGTCTCGAGCTCGTAAAATAGAGGATAATTCCGCTAATCCGGTCAACAAGTATCCGAAAACGATGCGATCCATTAGCCAAATTGACTATAATTCGGTAGACGTAGCTCCGAAAGAATACAATTCTACCAATTCGTTATCCAACGAAGAAATAGATACCTCGATGGAAACTTGTAACAGACAGAAGAAATTCACTAGAAGAAACAGTTACACTACAATTTATAAAGATTCGCTTCATTTAAACACGTCTTCGTTGTATTTACAAAATTCGGCCTTTAAACCACCTTCTTTGTACGGAATTCAAGACAACGACCAGTTGAACAGAATGACCAACGCGGCGGAACTTTACGGAACTTGGCAACGAAGACCGTCCTGTCATTCGAGTCATAAAATGCTTCAGCAGCAGAGGGACAGACTTTATGCCAGTTCTCTCATCAACGAACCTCGTAATACGTCCAATTTTATGCCTCCTACCTTGACCAGAGACATTTACGGCACGATCAGGAGATCCAAACACGATTACGGAAGATCGCTGTCGGTGGATATTCCTCAAAATCCAATTATTTACGAACCCAAAATACAAAACTATTCGCAGCAAGAAAACGATTCTTTTAACATTCACGAATGTAGAAATATCAATTTGGAAAATAAATATTCCGCCTACTTAAATAATTACGATAAAAATAAGATATCGTCGATTAAATCGGATGGGAAAGTTTCACGGGAAAACCAAGCGTTGGAAAATTCCAGTATTAAATTTCAAAATAACGAACGACCGTCGGGTAATCCGAGCGACGATAATAATAATAATAGTAACAACGAGGAGGATAAATTAAAGACTGAACAGGATTTGGATAATTTAAAGAAAGAGGCGTCACACACTTACCAGCCTCGAGTAGCCAGTTCGTTTCAATCTCAGGCTAACGATAATAAACCGCCGACACTTTCTTTGTTGGACGCTCTCAAACTAAAGGGCTATCGAAATTTAATCGCTCAGCAGAATACGTATAACGTAAAACCGAATTTTATTGCCGAAGAAAGCGGTCTGCTAGAAAATTATAACTACGGATATAAAACGACCAATCAGTTAGAACATTTAATGGAAGACGAAAAGGTAAGAGAGGAAGCTCCGCCCGTTAGTCATCCCGATTTGCAGCCGCTGGCGGAAGCGGATAACAATGCCAAAGAAAAATTAATGCCCGTGTGCGAAACGAACGAACTTTCTATTTGCAAAATCGATTCGGATCAAGAGGAAAGCGTCAGCGAACGAATCTGGAGGAAGAGCTTCTATTCCAGGTTTAACGACAGTCGTATGAAAAAAAGAAAAGCGTACAGAGAAGGCGACCCGAAAGCGCAATCTCTCTCCGCAAGTAATTGGAACGTATTAATTGAAGAAAACCTGAGAGACGACTTGGCGCGTCCCAGAAGGAGTTCGCTAACCGTAGGGAACAATCACTGGTCTAGTCTTCCTCGTCCCACCACAAAACCTCTGGTGAAACATCATTCTTACGAGGGTCCGGATCCCGTCTTACAGTTGGGCGATCTCCTGGGAAATTCTACCAAGCACAGGTGCCAGAAAATGTCTAAGAGATCTTCCTCGTTGGGTATGGTCGAGGACGTTTCGGACGCCAATACGTGCTCCGTCGTCCCTTACCCCAACGCCACGCAACAGCCCCATCACAGTATTCTACTGGACTACAACCTACCGTATTCTGCGCCGGTCGCTTCCAATATTAATAAATTATACGGAACGATAAGAGCCCTTCCCACTTATAAAGAAGACTATTTATCGGAAGAGAACTTTAAAACAAGAATTAGTTCGCAGGGTAAATTATCGCGTAGGCGTTTCTCCGCCCTGGACGGTTACTTATTCGCTTCGAAATCTCCATCGTTATCGGATTCTATCGCCTCTCTCAACGACAGCGACAAGCCAGAAAACGAAGAAATCAGCTGAAATTTGCTCCCGTCTGGCCAAAGAACATAAACTCTTTAAAAATTTGTACTTTTAAACATTATATTTGTAAATATACACGCTAATGCACTGTACACGTGACAAACGAAACAGAAAATTTCATTAACTGTACCGTTCGTATACATAATGCAATAGACTTATTGTGTTTTCATTTATAAATTTTAAAATCGAATGTCGTTAAACGTGCGGTTTCCAAAAATTTCATTCTTAACTCATTTATAATACCAAAGATTGTTAAATTATTAGCTTAATATATTTGTTGTTTATAAATTTATATACAGAGTCCAGAACTTAAGTACAATGTTTAAATACAAAAACGAGAAGACACTAAATATTGTACTTTAAGTTGGTGACAACTTTTTGAAATTTTATTAAAACGTTTAATAAAATTCACAGTTCTCGACAATGGAACTGCAAACTGCTGTCCAAGACCTTAGACATTTAAATGCTACGCTTTGCGTGGCCAAGAAAAAAATGTGGGAAGAGAGTTATCGAAATACAGTACAGTATTTATACACTTTGTCAAAGCATCTTGGGATAAATTTGCAGTTCCAATGTCGAGTCGTGTAAATATCTCGTAAGAACATATCAATATTTATTAACGCCACGTAAACGAATATTCTAAAACGGAAATCAATTTTAAGGACCAAAGTAATGTTTAAATGATGTACAAATATATATATACTTATTATATAAATGATAGTGCCTAAATATATATATTTTTATGATGCAAAAAAATTCATTTTAGAAATTCAGGAAACTGCAATTTTAATCTTCCACTTTTATAAATAGAGTCCCAATCCTTTTAAATATATAAATGCACTTTCGCTATTTTTAAAGTGCAGTAATCTCTCCTCTTTTTTTACTGTAAAAATACAAATTTGCTTTCGATTAGATCTTAATACTTTTTCCCATTGTCTCGCATGAATCATTTGAATGTATCTTGGGTAAAGAAAAATAATTTATCTGAATGACAGTCGTGTATTCGAATGTACATAATTAAGCGTGCAATAATTTAATTATATTTAAATTTTTCTTTGTCGTCCTTCTTATATTCTAGTCATTTAATTATCATTAATCTTTTAGATAACGATTGTGTTTAATTGCGATTTTAGTTTTATGTTCTTTTTGTAAAAGAAATTTTATTGTTCTAATCAAAAAGAAGAAAAAATCTGTTTTATTGTTGATGTTAATGTTGCAGTTTTGTGTAAGGAAAAATTAATATAAAGAAAAATAAATACATTTGTTAATATACAAATTTGTTTGAATTTTATTTTCAGTCACAGAAAAAGAAATACAGTAATCACTTAGTTATAATTTAAATAAGGTAAGTGTCGATTTTCAATTACAGTTAACAATGATTTTAAATGAGAATTAAATTCTCCTAAAATTGAACTTTTAACAGTAAAGTGATAAAAATACATTTGAAATTCTATCATTAATTAGATATAAAAATTAAATATGATCATAAATAAAGTTCTGAAACGACAATATTAATTCCTTTAAATTTTTGACAATAAATAGCATTAAAAAGAATTCAAATTTTCAAAACTAGCGATTGAGAGTCCAGAGCTTATTTTTAACAGAGGAAAAACAATTTGATTGCGATACTGTAATAATGACGCTTGTAGAAATATGTTTAAATAATTATTTTTTAAATTAAGTCCTAAAACTGCTATTTTTGCGCAATTGTAATATTTCGTGAAATTCGTATTAAATTCTATGAAAATCCGACGAAATGAAGGATTTTATTTCCAATTATAATAGCGAAACAATTGTGGCGGGTTTAATATTTTGAAAACAACAGGTCGAAATCATCAATTTATTGGTCAAGGATGTTAATTAATTGATCCAATGACGATAAAATGATGGCAATCGATCTTACCACTACACGGTGTTTAAAGATATTTACCCGCTGGTAAAGACAAGAAATGTCCTTGAATGCGCAAATTTATACGCTCGCACGTGAAAATTTCAAAAGAATTGCCAAAAATTATTATCTCAATAATAATTACATTAACCTAAAAATAGCAAGAGAGATATTTAAATGAGGTTCCCCCTCCAATTACTAATTGCATTTTTTAAAAATCGAATATGGGGTTAAAAATCTTATTTAGTTTAAAAGTGATTATTATTTAACCGAATTCTATTTAATTACTTTTGTATTTTTTTTATACTTGAGAGAAGCAAACGATTATAAAAATGTTATTTAATAATAAATCGCATTATGCATTTTTGCAGGATTATTTAATTGTAATTAATTAATTGGTGCCTTTGTATTTTATTCGTGGTTTAATTATCTACGAAAAAGGTATTTACTTCAACTAAAACATTGAATATTTATTAGTTATTTAATTAAAAATTATTTCAAATTTNTTTTCTAGAAAAGTTTGAACAGTTTGTTTATAAATTTAAAAAATTGAAATTTATTTTATTAAATGTCTAACAAAAGTTGTTATACAATAACAATATTACCTTAAAATAAGAAGACTATGTCTTGTTTATAAAATCGTACAGCCTGCTGTGTTACCAGCTTAGAGGTATGAAGGCGTACATGTCAGGAGTTGCAATTTGGCACAGAGTGTTAAGTGCCCAAATCATGCGCGCATAAAAAAAAAAAAACAGACTTGTAGGTACTCAGGGGACCAAGAACCAAGTCAAAGTAAAATACAAAATGGAGACTCTTTCTACAAACAGGCAAACCGAAGTCAGGTGGTGAGAGTACCACCCACAGTCGTTCTAGGAAGTGGACTCTGACCCTAGGACTGGACATACAGTATTTTCTTTGTTAAATAAAATTTGTAATCTAATTTTGTAAATTTGGGAGTGCTTCAAATATGATGTTAAAATGGTTTTATGTCGTTACAAGTGGGTTTTTTTTAATACTATCTAGTATAGTAAAATCGTGGGACCGATAAAAATTTGACATTATATATTGGGTTGTTACATCCGATGACGTTATTATCGGGTTAAACTGTATATTGTTTGTGCAAAATAAAAATAATAATTTCGGACAGTACAATAGCCACGATTTTTTTTTTTTTTCAAAAATGGGAAATTTTCGTTACGCATCGACAAAAATTCAACTTGGGCCAACACACAACGGAGAGAAATTTCGAAATTGGTTAGATTAATTTCATCGAAAATGCATCGTGGACGACTACGTGATCATGGCCGGCAAAGTTTGAATGATCGCACCCAAAAGCAACGATACCAAAGAAGATTGGAGAATGAGAACTAGATCCGCTTTGACATCAAAGTGATTCCACTTAGTAGTGTCTTCGAGACATAGTCATGTCCCAAATATGGTTTTACTATTTTACTTGTTTAATTTAACTTGTTTGGTTAATATTTAAATAATATAATATTTTACCAGTTTTACCAATATTATACAGTTGTCCAACAGAAAAGTAAACTATCTTATTTACAAATCTTTTCAAAATAGACAGTTTGACCAGCCCTTCTAAAAATAGGGCCCTAGACATTTGTCTAATTTGTCTATGTGATTATCTGGCCCTGTCTCCAGGGGTCAATTAATACACGAGGGTCGAAAGGGGGTCGATTAATACTGAAAAGGATCAATTAAACTGTCTAGGAAAAAAATAGAATATTCCAATAAAAATTTGAAATACGGATATGATCAACATTACTGACATTACCCTATGTTATAACTTGAGTTTTGCCTTAGCCTATGCCACTTTAAGCATGTGTTACTGTTTTTACGCATCTGGCAACTGTACTAGTGTTGCAAACATGTTATGAACACTGGTAGTTCATTATACACAGACATACATTGCACTGTTACACTCTAGTAGAGTTGTCACTCTAAGTATTTTATATCTAAATGTAGATATTTTGTCCTTTACAGAGAAAATATCGTAATATATCGAAAATCATTATTAAGGTATTCAGTAGTAGTCGCAAAATGACAGTAAGAGGTTTTTTTTCATCCAATATAACTTACGTTATGTTTTCAAAGATAATTGTGTATTTTATGTATTATGACACATACGGTTTAAGAACTATAGGCAAATTTCCATCTATCCATAATTTTCCTATTATTTTTTAAGATTATAAATCAGTGGAAAATATCTCCTTTTTCTGTTAATGTTATTGGGTGGATTTTATAAGATATGGGAACTATAAATTCTTTCATTGGGTTGTTATACAGGTCTCCTTATTGCTTAACATTAGAAATGCAAAAAATGATTTACTGTTTTTGTTAAATACTTAATAATCTGGGGGTCAATAAGGCTGCAAATATTCTATAAAGGGGTCGACGGGATGAAAAGTTTGGGGACCCCTATTTTAAATTGTACAGATGTTTCACAGGGAACTGTTCCTGTAAGGTTTGCCAACAGGGTGAAGATTGGGGACTTAAAAATCTCACTTCACTGACATTAACCCATAAAGTTTTTTCATCAATTTTGAGGAAATATTTTTGAAAAATTGATTTTTTAAAAGTAATATAAAGTAAACCGCACCATGGATATATACATATCTATTACTTATAGCAGATCTTTAAATTAAGTTGTAACACAGCTCAAGGAGTGAGAAGCAAGTCCGAGCAAAGTCTGAATGTTCTGGTCATCATTTTTCTTTGGTCCTGTGATGACAGCATTATGATCGATGGCCTGGGGTGCATGGCAAGGCTTTCAGCGACATTCTCTGGCAAACAGGTGAACCTGGGGGGAACGGGGCACGGTAGAGGGAGGTTCATTCTAATGATGTCAGGAATTCTTTCATTGTTCTTCCACAGAATCACAAAAGTTCAAGATGGGAGAACTACAAACCAAGAATGTCGCGTCCTTGAATCACACATTTTTATACATTTTACCTCTGATTCTGCTTTTTGATTGTCCTCCCCTCATCACCTGGTGACAATTCGAAACCTTTCGGGGGGGTGCAGGAGAGGTCAGCTTCATGACCAAACTCGATTCCATTCTAATTACATTTCCCTAGACTTTGTCACTCTCCTCATTTCATCTTTTGTTTTATGTTTTATCAAAAGAAACCCTCTTTGTTTATAGCCGTTTTAAGTCTTTCTTCGTTTGTTTCTGAAAAGTGAGAGCTCTGCAAGCTCGCCAGACGGTCGACATTCGGACCTTAAAGTTTGAATTCCATCTGGGCCCTCACATTCCTTTGCTATGAAGATGTAAATAATCACTTACTAATATTATCATTGTATTCACACTAATATTAAAGTTTTCCTTAATTTCAATGCTGTCTCACTGTGCATTAATTTTTGTCAATGAATGCTTTTTGAAAATTTTCAAATTTATTCTTGTTTAAAGTTGTATATTTGCAAATATGAGGGATCTCCATAATTTAAAAATATCTTATAATTTATATTAAAAAGTTAAAGAACAGAATCTGTTCTTCAGAGTTTGTTATTAAGTCATTCTAAATTTATCAACAGTTCTGGCAGAATAAAGGAATTTTACTACAAGTTATTTTAATAAACTAATCATTTCTTTTACATCATCATGTATTTTGTAAAACTTTTTTTTAATAGAGTAGTAATAAAATAAAAGCTACCATTTTAAATCAACAAAATTAGATTAATAGTACTTGTCAATT